CCCACTTTCCCCTCTGCCTAGGCCTAGCAACAACCGATCTGTTTTCTGTCTTTACAGTTTTGCTTATTCTGGATGTTTCATATAAATGGAATCATACACTATGTGACTTTTGGTGTCTGGTTTCTTTCACTTAGCATGATGTTTTCAAGTACTGTAACCTATCAGTACTTCATTCCTTTTTATGGCTTAATAATATTCCAGTGTATGCATATACCACAATTTGTTTATCCATTCATCGTTGTTGGACATTTGAGTTGTTTCCACCTTTTGGCTATTGTGAACAGTGCTGCTATGAACATTCACGTACAAGTATTTGAACATCTGTTTTCAATTCTTTTGGAGTGTATACCTAGGACTGGAATTGGTGGGTCATATGTTTAACTTGTTAAAGAACTGCCAAACTGTTTTCCACAGCAGCCACACCATTTTACATTCCCACAGTAACGTAGGAGGGTTCCAATTTCTCCATATGCTTGTAGACTCTTGTCATTTTCTGTTTTTTTTTTTTTATTATAGCCATCCAAATGGGATTAAACTGGCAACTCACTGTGATTTTGATTTAAATTTTCCTAATGACTGATGATGTTGAGCATCTTTTCATGTGTTTGTTGTCCACTTGCGTATCTTCTTTGGAGAAATGTTTAATCAAGTTCTTTGCCCAGTTTTAAACTGGGTTGTGTGTCTTTTGAATTCTTTGTATATTCTGGATACTAGATCCTTATCAGATATATGATTTGCAAATATTTTCTGGCATTCTATAGGCTGTCTTTTCACTTTCTTGATAGTATCTTTTGCAGCACAAAAGTTTTTAATTTTGATTAGAAGTCCAATTTATCTATTTTTCTTTTTGTTGCTTCTGCATTTGGTATCATATCTAAGAATCCACTGCCAAACCCAAGGTCATTAAGATTTACCCCAATGTTTTCTTCTAAGAATTTTATGGTTTTAGCTCTTACATTTAGGTCTATGATCCATTTTGAGTTGATTTTTGTATATGGTGTGAAGTAGGGGTCCAACTTTATTCTTTTGCATGTGGAAATCCAGTTGTCTCAGTACCTTTGTTGAAAAGACTGTTCTTTGCCCATTGAATGGCCAATCAATTGGCCATAGATATATGGGTTTATTTCTCTATTCTCAGTTCTGTTCCATTGATCTATACGTCTATACTTATGCCAGTAACACACTATTTTGATTACTATAGCTTTGTAGTAGGAAGTGTGATACCCCCAACTTTGTTCTTTTTCAAGATTGTTTTGGTTATTCAGGGTTCTTTGAGATTCTATATGAATTTCAGGATAGATTTTTCTATTTCTGCAAAAAAGTCATTGGAATTGCATTGAATCTGTGGGTCACTCTGGGTAGCGTCAACACCATAGCAAAATCGTCTTCCAATCCACGAACACAAATGTTTTTCCACTTATGTCGTCTTTAATTTCTTTCAGTAACATTTTATGGTTTTCACTATACAAGTCTTTCATCCTTGGTTAAGTTTATTCCTAAGTATTTTATTCTTTTGGACGCCACTGTAAATATAATTATTTTCTTAATTTCCTTTTCAGATTGTTCATTGATATGGAAACACAACTGATTTTTGTTTGTTAGCTTTATACCATGCAACTTTGCTGAATTTGTTTATTAGATCTAGTAGTGTTTTTGGTGTGCAGTATTTTTATTTGTAAGGAAAAATGAGAAAATTCTGAATGTTCAGCATTGGGGGACAGGTTAAACAAATTTTGGAGCATCCACATAATGTGACCACTTTAAGGGATCAGGTGAGCTATACTTTTGTATGTCTGAAATATGTCGTAATAAAAGATGAATAAGGTAGTTCTTTGTGGATTGATATGGAAAGCTGTCCATGGCGTATAACGAAATGAGAAAAATCAGGTTACCAAACAGTATGATTTTATTTATGTAAAGTCAAATGGTCTTATATGCATAATGCCAGCTCCATGGGGAGAGGGATTGTTGTCTGTTTTGTCCACAGATGTAACCACAGTGCCTGGCACATTGCATGGTACATAGTAGGTGCTCAAGAAATATTTATGGAATAAATTTTAAAAAGTCTGGAAAGATAAACACCAAATTGTTAATAGTGGTTATTGCTGAAGTGTAGGGTTATGAGGGAACGATTATCTGCATTGTTTGAATGTTTTTACTTCAAGCATATATTGCAAAAAAAATAAAAGTATTTCCATTACATACACACACACACACCCACACTCACACCCACACACATTCTCTCTCTCACCAAGTGGTAAGAAGAAAGGCACTGGGGGCAGAGGGAGGAACGTGCTAGGACTCTGTCTGAGGTAAACAGAGGCTTCTCATAGGCAGCAACTTTGGCACCAAGCCTCAGCAGGCTCATTTCTGTTGTCCCAGCAGCTAGAGCCATCTTTTTAAGATGTAAATCTGATCAGGTCACTCTTGCTTAAAACTCTTTGATAGCCCCCTTACCTGTAGGATCAAGTCTAGCCTCCTCTACCTGGCACAGGAGGCCTTTTATGATCTGGCTCCTGCTATTTTACTTCCTGTCACTCACTAATATGTATCTCAACTTTTTATTATGGAAATTTAAAAACACACAAAGGCAGAGAGAGTAGTATATTCAACCTGCATGTGTCCATCAAACCAACTTCAACAATGATCAACATTTTTCAAATTTTGTTTCATTTATCTCCACCCACCACCCGCTGCCACACACACATACAATTTTCCCCTTCCAGAGAATTTTAAAATAAACTCCAGACATATTATTTCACCTGTAAATACTTCACATTGTGTCTCTAACAGATGAGTACTTAAATAAATATATAACTACCATGCTGCTATCGTACTTAACAAAATTATCAATAATTTTTAACATCACCTAATCCATGTCCAAATTTCCCCTATTGTCTTAAAAATCTCTTTTTACAGTTGGTTTGCTTGAACACTGCCTAATATTCCGTGTTCTGGCAACACTGAACTGCTTGTCACTTCCCTAAATTTCATGTGCCTTTGCCTGGAATGCCTGCCTCTGACACCCAGCCCAGGATCAGCTTGAGTGCCATTGCCTGCTTGAAGCCTTCATGATCCCTCCAGCCTAGATTGCCTGTCTGCCCCTCCTCTGTGTCCCATAATACCCAGGATATAAGGCACTGCTCTGTCTTAGTACACGGTTCCGCCATTACATAGGTATGTATTGAGGATTACAGGTGCCAGGTACCATGCCAGGCACTGGGGATACAGCAATGAAACTGCCAAAGTTCCCACCCTCCTAGAGTGTGTGTGTGTGTAGGAATAAATAAAAAATGATTAAGATAATGATAAATGGTATAAAAATAAATGGTATTTTGAAATAGAGAGGGCAGGGAGGCTACTTTAGATGGGGTGGCCAGGGTATTTTACTGAGGTAGTGACGATGTGGCTGAGAATGAATGAGAAGGATCCAGTTTGGGGAGGATCTGGGCATTCCAGGCAGAAGGACTAGCATGTGCAGAGACCCTGAGGTGAGGGGCCTCAGTCTTAGAAGCCTCTATTTATGTCTGTCTTTACCTCTACATCTGTAGATCTCATCCTTTTGGGGATCATAAAAACCCCTTTGAGTGTTGAGAATTTGGTAATAGCTATTGCTCCTTGCCCCAGAAGAATGTACAAATGCACAGTCACACGAATTTGCATACTACTTCCCTAACTCCTGAAGCCAGGGACCCTCAGGAAGATTCCCTGCCCAGACTGGGTTCCCATTTAGGATAGGAATAGTGTCTAATACTGCTTTCTAGTATGTACTCCACTATGTGCTTCCCTTCATTATCTCTTTGATACTTTGACAGCACCCCCCCCACCGCCACCATGAGGTAGGTACAGATATTATCCCCATTTGATAGATGAGGAGACTAAGGCTAAGAGAGAGTGAGTTCCTTGGCCAATGTCACATAGCTAGTGAGTGACAGGGAGGGGACGTAAACCTAGGCAGTCTGAGGCCCAGGTGCATACGTTGCACACATGCTAAGGCACTGCTGGGCAGCTTGGGGCCCAGCACTGAGCAGGAGGTCTGGGGACCTGTCCTTGGCAAAAACAGGGGAGCAGGAGCTGCTGGAGCTTTCTCTGTAGGGGCTTAGAGATGTGAAGACCTGCTCTTTCTAGATGGCTGTTTGCTTTCCTTCTTTCTCTTCCTCCTCCTTGTCCTCTTCTTCTTCCTTTTTTGTTGAATGACAATATTTGATTTTCTTATAAAATCTTTCTGCCTTAGATAGAGTCTTTTAAATATAGAATTGGAAATATACTGCTCTGTCTGTGACAGCTCACAATGAATGCAGCAGAGGCAGATCCACCTCCCCAAAGGTGGGATTTTTTTCAAAAAAATTTATTTATTTACTTTTTTTGGACCAGGTAAGACATTCACATGGTTCAAAAATCAAAAGGTACAGAAAAGAACATAGTCCCCCTCACTCCCCTGCCACCTGCCACCTGGTTCCCCTTGCTGGAGGCAACTGAGGTGCCCCAGTTCCTTGTATATCTTTCCAAAGATGTTTTATGCAAATATAGGCATATCCAATATATACATATTATTTTTTTAAATGGTTATTTTCTTAACCCTTGAGTTGCAGACACAGCCTAAACTTCTCTCTGGCCCCTGTGCGTGCCTCAGAGATAGTGGAGGCCAGCGGATCTCCTGGGAGCACTGTTTCCCTCAGATGTTGGCCTTTCCAGGCCTCGTTTTCATGGCAGGCCCTCTTGTACACAATGCTTTAGACTCTTTTCAAAGTCCTTCCATCTGTGATAATTCAAGCACTCACAATAGCCCAAGAAGTGCAAGAATTATTCACCTCACTTTACACTAAGGAAACAGACTCAGAAAGGTCGAGTAACTTGCCGAAAAGCACACAATTAATGTTGTCGTTGTATGGTCAGGGCCCAGGAGCAGCGTGGCTTGGTCCAGCTTGGACTTTGGAAGCAATAAGTTGTTTACTCCACAGTCATAGTTTAAAAATATTTTAGTGGTGCTAGGTGTGGGGCAGTGGAAAAAGTAAGGGAACTTGCAGTTCCAGCTGGGCTTGCCTCCTGGCTCTGCCACTTACAACTGGGCAACTTATTTCACAGTTCGTAGCCTTGCTTTCCTAATCTATGAAGTGGGGATGACAATACCTGCCCAGCAGGGTGGATAGTGACATGCTATAAATGAAAGCAATTTGTAAAATGGGGCATATTCCAATGCTTGCTTTGCATCATTATTATGGTTATTATGGCTAGTCCTTGCAGGTACAAAGGCAGCCGTTTCCTGAAGGGAAGGCAGGCTCACACTGGGTACAAAGTTGCCCCACCCTAAAGCCACCTTAGCTAAAAAGACCCTCTCCAACCCAATGAATTGTTAATCAGGAGCCCTCAGCCTGACCGGTCTTCCTTGCCAGCTCAGAACCTCCTGCGTGGTTAGAACAGCCCCAGGGCCTGAGGACAAACTCTTCCTCAGTGGGTGTCTTGAATTTACTTTGATCTGTAACTTCCCTGCAGACCAATTCTTCTTTTTTTTTTAAGTTTATTTATTTTTCATATTATAAAACTAGAACATGCTTACTACACAAAATCTGGAAAATATTGAAAAGTAGGAAGAACAAAAATAAATTAAACCATTCTTATCTCTTCCTCCTTCACAGAAGCCCACCTCAGTTAATATTTGGATATATCTCTTTCAGTCTTTTTTTCCCCTAGGGGCTTATGATAATTCTTAGCAGAGCAATTTTTTTTCTACAGCTTTATTGAGGTATAATTAATTGATATACCAAGAGCTGCACATACTTAATGTGTACAAGTTGATGAGTTTAGACTGAGCAGATCAACTCTTAATCTGTCTTGCTTGTTTTGTGAATGCCATGCCTAATAGTTTTTAAAATTATTCCTAGTTCTATCTATCTAATTTCAACAAGAATTAAATGAAAAGTCATCCTGAAGGCCACTGAGGTGCTGCCCTCTCTCAGGAACAGGCCTGGCCTCTGGGAGGCCCAGCAGTGGGTCAGCTCCCCAGCCTGCTCTGGGGCTCAGACGACAGTGCCAGCCGTGGTGAGGAGAAGGTGGCACGGGCTGCCCAGTGGGAAAAGGCTCCTTCTCACTCAGGTCCATTCCCCTTGAATGGAAAATGGGGCACTAGTATTCACCACTTTACCACTTGGTTGCCTCTGGGGCTGAGGCCCTCACAGGAATTTGGGTGATGACTTTATGGGTGGGTCCCCTAGAAAGGACTGGGATAGGGGAGCCGAAACCAGACTAAGCAAGCTTTTGAGATGACAAACCTTGGCGGGTGGTCTCTTGCAGGCTGGGGATTCAGAGTTCCCATTTGCCTTCTTTGGCCTCCTCCTGCCCACAACTGCCTCATTTCAGTGCCTCCCCCCTCTTCCATTTTTTATTATCCCCCCTTTTTTTTGGTATAAGTAAGACTGCCCTTAAGCCGAGAGTGTATAATTAGAATAGTGGGCATTTGAAGTGACTGATATTCCTAGCCAACCAGGCGCCCTGCTGCTGCTTAATAAAAGCTTGGCTATTACCATCTCGGGACACGTTCAAGGCTTTTTCCACTCCCTTCTGCGGAATGCCCACCCCCCCACCCCCCAGGCCTGGGAAAATACAACTCACCCAGAAGGCCCAGCTCAAATATCACCCCCTTTGAAATGTTCTGCGATGCCGCCCACCTGGGGCGAGTTGCTCTCTCCTCAGTGCTCCCGCAGCTCTGGATTCATGTGGGTAACCGAGGGCGAAACATGTTGGAATCTGGTTCTTTCCCTCCTCCTTTGCTTTGTCTGGAAGTTCCTAGACAGCCAGGATGGGGCCGGGTCTGTGTCTCCCATCCCAGTCCCAGTAGTTGAAGAAGCGTCATAAATATTTGGTGAATCAAATTACAAAATCATGATGTTTGGCTGTCCCTTCTGCTTCCTCATCTCTCATTACCCCAATCCCCATTTTATGGCAAGAGAAGGCCATCTTGCCTTCTCCTCCGAGGTTACAGTAACACCAATGCATCACAACTGTATCCCATTTTCATCAAGTGTGCTGTCCACACTGGACACGGAAGTATCCTCGTTATCCATCAAAATGCCCCTCTTAGATCTGACATGCCACCTGCCCCTTCCATCCCTGAGCCGCTCCCCAGGCAAGGATAGTTCCTCCCTGGGTGCCAGCAAGACCCACGCCACGGTTGCAGCATCTGTATTCCCGTAAGCCCAGGACAGGCTCCAGCACAGAACAGAGCTTGGCCTTCTGTTCCCAGGACTCAGTGGGGACATAATAGTTCCTCAGTGGGGTCCAGCACTCAGAGTCAGCCTCCAAGGCTGGGCCAGAGCGGAACATGGAAGCAGCAGGGTTATTCTTTTTTTTTTATGATTTTATTTTATTTTATTTTTTCCCCCAAAGCCCCAGTAGATAGTTGTATGTCATAGCTGCACATCCTTCTAGTTGCTGTACGTGGGACGCGGCCTCAGCATGGCCGGAGAAGCAGTGTGTCAGTGCGCGCCCGGGATCCGAACCCGGGCCGTCAGCAGTGGAGCGCGTGCACTTAACCACTAAGCCATGGGGCCGGCCCTAGCAGGGTTATTCTTGATACTTCAATGAGAGGAAATGTGTCAGAACTGTGTGTGTTGTCAGTGGCACGTTACAATGACAATGGGACAAAGAGGTAGGTTTTCAAAGATTTTACTAAAAAACAAAATAGATCCATAATTCTAAAAACAACACAGGTGGACTTCTCCCCACCTCCCAGTCTGCTGACCAGGCCCCCTCCCCCAAGGCTGTCCCTGGATGGTAGTGAGGCCCAAACCCTGCCTCTCAGATCCCCCTGCCCCACAAACTGGTGACGGAAGCTCCACGCTTTCCTCCGGCTTCTGTCTACCTCCTTTAAGAAAATAAAAATCCCCCCTCCCCAACTCACTTAAAAATAATTTTCATAGATTAAAAACGGCATTTATATGTTTTTTAAAAATAAACACTTTAAATGTTGGCAATCTCCCTCTTCCCCTAGGCCTAGCTGAGGCCTCTGGGGTGCCTGCCTGCCTCACCCCAGGAGGCCAGCTGCCACTTGGTGCCCCTTGGAAATTTTCAGGAAGTAATTTCTTCCAAATTTCCCCTGCAGTCACAAATTCCACACACTGCTCGCATAAACACGCTGTCTTCATTACAGGCACTGCTCCTCGGCTCTGGAAACCTGATCTCTTTTTGTCAACTAGACCACATGCTTCAGATTCCCTGCAAACAGGAGAGAAAACAAAATTCAAATTCAGGTAACATATGTGAATTATACTTCAAGAAAGCTGTTAAAAAAAAAGCACTTGCAGGGCCGGCCTGGTGGCGCAAGTGGTTAGGTGCGCGTGCTCCGCTGTGGCAGCCTGGATCCCGGGCGTGCACCGATGCACCACTTGTCGAGCCATGCTGTGGCGGTGTCCCATATAAAGTGGAGGAAGATGGGCGTGGATTTAGCCCAAGGCCAGTCTTCCTCAGCAAAAAAAAAAAAAAAAGAAAGAAAGAAAGAAAGAGGAGGATTGGCAGATGTTAGCTCAGGGCTGATCTTCCTCACACACACACACAAAAAGCACTTGCATTTTGGGGCTTGTTGTCTTGCTGCTCTTGGGAACCCTGAGACCCCAACATATGAACAAGCCCAGGCCAGCCTGCTGGATGGTGAGAAAACATGTCCCCGTTACCCCAGCAACCACCAGTCACTCACCAGGCATGCGACTGGGGCCTTTGACAGCCAGCTGACTGCAGTGCTGGGTGAACCAGCTAAAACCAGCAGAAGAACTGCCCAGCTGAGCCTAGCCCAACTGCTGATCCACGAGTCATGAGTTAAACAAATGGTTGTTTTAAGTCACAAACACACACACACACTCTCACACACACAAATTCAGGCAACACTTTTCAGAGTTCACACTTCACTAACTGCATTAAATCTTCCCCCACCCTCAACCTTTCTTCCCCCATTAGCAGGGTACCGCCTTCCTAAGCATTTTCTCTTGTGAGTACCTGTGAAATATGAATTGAGGGCTTTCCCCTGCCCTCAGGCCTAAGAGTCTTTGAGGGAAAAGCAGTCACTTGAACTACAGCAGTGGGCTCTAGGAATGAAAGTTTGCTCACTTGGTCCCTCCGCAGCCTTCTCCTGCCCCACTTCCCCAAGCAGAAACACTGGGCTCCAAACCCTACTGACTACCTCCCCCTTGAAACAGGAAGAATGCTTCATGAGGCAGGGACCTGAGCTGTCTTACTTTTGGTTGATCTCCAAAGACTAGCACAGTGCCTCACACATAGTAGGTGCTCAATAAATGGCTGAATGGATGAATGGAGAAAGGAAAGAAGGAAAGAAAAAACAAATCAGCACCCACTTGCCTATCTAGTTTTATTTTTAATTTTTAAATTAACATACAATAAACTCGACTTTTTCTGTATGTGCAGTTCTATGCTTTTTAACACATGTATAGATTTCTGACACAGAACAGTCCCATTACCCTCCCAAATCCCCTGTGCTATCCTTTTGCAGTCACATCCTCCCCTCCCCCTCTTACCACCTGGCAACCACCGACCTCCATCACTATAAGTGTTGCCTTTTTGAGAATGTCATATAAATGGAATCAAACAGTATATAACCTTTTAAGACTGGCTTCTTTCATACAGCATAATGCCTTTGAGTTTCATGCAAATTTTAGCTGTATCAATAGTTCATTCCTTGTTTTTTTTCCTGAGGAAGATTCGTCCTGAGCTAACATCCGTGCCAATCTCCCTCTATTTTGTACGTGGGTCACCACCACAGCATGGCCACCACCGAGTGGTGTAGATCCGCGCCTGGGAACTGAACCCGGGCCGCCGAAGCGGAGCGTGCCGAACTTAACCACTAGGCCACAGGGCCGGCCACGGTTACTTAGCTTTTTAATTTTAAAATTATTATAGATTTATAGAAAGTTGCAAAAAAACAAAAACAAAAACAAAACAAGAAGTACTGAGAAATATCCTTAACAAGTTTCTCCAAGTGGCATCATCTTACATAATTATTGTTCAATATCAAAACCACAAAATCGACATTGGTACAATTCACAGACCATCTTCAGATTTCACCAGTTTTACATGCATTCATTTGTGTGTGTAAGTGTATTGTTCTATGCAATTTTATCACGTGTAGATTCATGTAACCCCCACCACAAGAAGATACAGAACTATTCCATCACCACCCCTCATGCTACCTTGTTACAGTAACTCTCCTCCCCATCCTTAAGCCCTGACAACCATTAATCTGGTCTCCAGCACCACAATTTTGTCATTTTGAGAATGTGATATAAATGGACTCATACAGTATATAACTTCTTGAGATTGACTTTTTTCACTCCATACTGCCCTAAGATCCATCCAAGTTGTAGCGTGCATTAAGTTTTTTCCTGTTTATTGCAGAGTAGTGTTCCTTGGTATGGACATAGCACAGTTTGTTTAACCATTCACCTGTTGAAGGACATCTGGGTTGCTGCCAGTTTTTGGCTATTACACATAAAGCTGCTATGAACATTCATGTACAAGTTTTTATGTGCACATAGTTTTCATTTCTCTGGGATAAATGTCCGAGATCACAATTGCTGGGTCATATGGTAGTTGCATGTTTAGTTTTAGATGAAACTGCCAAACTGTTTTCCAGAGTGGCCATACCATTTTGTATTCCCACCAGCAATGCATGAGGGATCCAGTTTCTCAGCATTCTTATCAGCATTTGATGGTGTCACTAGCTTTTTATTTTGGCCATTCTACTGAGTGTGTAGGGATCCCTCCTTGTGGTCTCAATTTGCATTTTCCTAATGGCTAATGATGTTGAACATCTTTTCATGTGCTTATTTGCTGTCTGTATATCCTCTTCATGTCTTTTGCTAATTAGATTTCTTTTTACTGTTGAGTTCGGAGAGTTCTTTATATATTCTAGATACAAATCTGTTGTTGGATATATGATTTGCAAATATTTTATCTCAGTATGTAACTTGTCTTTTCATTCTCTTAACTCTTGCAAAGCAAAAGTTAATTTTTTGGATCATGCT